AGGGCGTGTTTTCCTCGGCCGTCAAGCTGATCTGCAATGAGAATGAGCTGGTTACAAAGGGGGAAAGGAGCTCAACGTGTCACATAACAAATCCAAACGAGCTGTTTGCGAAGCTGTCTCCAGGATGCACTGGGATGAGTGCTACCTGCAGAGCCTTAAGATATAATGCCAAAATATGAAAATAAAGAATGACAATAATCCACCAAAAGTATTCCATTCTTTCATTGCTCGGCTGGTCGCTGATTTGCTTAAAAGAGTCAAACATGAAGCAAGCAATCCGCTTGGTGTTCATTCCGTCCAATCTGAGATGCATCACAGAGTCTCTCACACATATGAACATCCGCCCGATTTCATTGGGAACCCACATGATGAAATGCAGTGCCATCGTCCACTGTGATGCCCTGCCACCTAGTTTTAAAAACCACGATGAGTTGCCGCATTGCCTTGTCGCAGGACCTCGTAAGAGTCTCGTGAAAAAAGAAAAGGGGGTTCTTTCAGATCCGCTGTCCGGTTTTGCCATAGAATTCCGTATTAAATCTGCCGGTCTCCCTTTTTTCTCCGATCAAGATGGCGTCATGACTCGATCCTCCCATGACTCCGATTCGACCCGATCGAATCCGTCATGAGAAGGCAGGATCTCCAATCCGCCACTCTGCCTCTCGTGTCAGAGGACCAAAAGTTGGAAGAGCCCAGTGGCCAAGTGGCCAAGATCAAGAGTTCGAAGACCACGGGGGCTTTTGGGATGTCGCGCCGTTTGGGAAAGCGCCGTTTTTTTTCGCGCGGCTTGAAGAAACATGCGGGTGTGAACAAATCACCACGACCCTCTCGCTCAAGGCGAAGAACTCCATGAGAGTAGGGTGTGCTGCCGATCAAACAAAAGGGAAGGACGTTCCGGACAGGGTACGAGCATCAGCTGGCACTTGGCCCCCGTGAAGTCCTTTTATAGGTCGATGCCGGTACCATGTCGGTGGTTCACTGGGGGTGTACCCCTCCACTAATCAACCAATCGTAAAAGGATGTAAAAAGGTCCTGTCCCCTCCTTCGCTGGGATCATGGAAAGCCCCAAGTGACAAACCCAAGCTTCCACTTCTTTTCCCCCTGCATGCTCACATGAGCAACCATGAAAGACCTTCGTGGAGTCTCTCGATCAAAAAGTCGTTCGAAACCCCAAAAAGTCTCTTTTGACTCTGCTGAGACTCGCCTTCTGCAGATTGGCGTTGGAAATGGTTCCCGGGTTGATCTTGATGTTTCTTCGGGTTACGCGTTGAGATTCGGTTAAGACGGCACATCATCTGTTGAAAGCCCAGGGTCTTTGCCACTCCCTCACAGCTCTGTACGTTGGCAGCTAAAAGCTTGCTTGCGAGGCAAAGGCGGGCATCAAATCAATTGCTGCCACTCCTCAAACCGGGACAAGTCAGGCAACCTGCAGCGGTCTGAAGGTGATTCTTCGTGCACTCCATCTAGTCTCTTCGATCATGACCCTCGTGCAGATGTTATTCTCGCAGCACAAATCTCTCCAATATCTCGGTAAGCTTTTCCTTGCAGGACCTTTCTTGGGAGCAGGAGCTTGGAAAAAAGGCCTTTCAAAACATGGCTTGTCACAGGACAAACAAAAATGGTGCATATTCTTTCTCATGTCTTCGGCTTCCCGAAAGGGCTCACTTTTATCCAACTAACATGTTCCCCTTCCTCGCTCCGCAAAAAACAACACCACTTTCTCGCTTCCCCATCGTGCCGATGTCCGGAGACTTGCGAAACGCATGACGCGTAAGAGGGGACGCGTGGCGTGGGGCTTCCCCACCGATGTGGGTTTCCGCCTCGGGGCCCACCAAGCTAAATGATACCCTCCTAAAAACCCTGTCTCAACCAAAAACAGTTCTGGCTGTTCCAACATGTTCATTGAGGACTTCGCTGTGATGAACATGTTTTGCCACACTTGATCCGAGCAAGAACGTGTCATCAGGACTCTGTAGATAAACCAGCACTCTGTGGAACACCTCTACCTTGGCCGACAAATTGAGTATGCACTTTAAAAATAGCAATGCCAGTTCATCTGTCTATCTCTGCCTCCGGCCTTACTTATCTCTATCTACGCAAAAGAAACTGCAATAGAAATTCTGCGACGCGGCATACCTTCATGTGACGCAAAAAAAGGTTGGCACACGCCACAGCTATGTTCGTTCGTGCTTTCGTGCTTTCGTGCGCTGCCATCGGCAGCCTGGCTGCCCTTTTTTTGCTGCAAAAGCGTTGCCCAAAGAATTTCGACGCCCCAGAGGGTGGCATAGGGTTACAAGACACAGTATCACTGTATAGAATTGCAGTGAGCTTTGTCAGCCAAGTGTCTCCGCGCCGGTCCAGGCCTGAAATTCTGAGCATGACTTTGACTTGGCCTCCTACTTCGAGGTTCTTCATTGGACACGTGTCGAGTCAAGGAGTTTGCAAAGGAAACACCGTTGCAACGACGACAACAAGTTGTCCAAGGAGCTGGACATGGAACAAGCCTGATGCACTGGCCATCCTGCCTGATGCTTGATGCACAATAGTAGACTCTAGTACATTGCAATATGTTCCGTGCACAGGTGCCTAAAAATGGTACACAAATGATACTGTACAGGTTAGTATACGCAAGGGCATTCTCTTGGAAACAATACCAGACTGAACATGCCTAACGTCGGAGCCACGACAAGCTCAACGCAAAAGCTCGGGCTTCAGCGTCATCCATGTCGGCCCTCTCAGAAACGTCGCTGCCAAGGGCGCTTCCAGCGCCCGTGAACGTTAAAATGACTCGATGGTTTCGGCGCAGGCGGGGCAGCTGGCGGTGGCCATTGGCCGATGGCCGACCAACAAGTCCAGCAGTGTCATCGACTGGGCTGTCAGCCCTATGTGGCTTCAAGTGGCTTCGTGTCAGATTTCAATGCATCTTCACTTAGACCAGAAAGTACAGTCTTTCGACCTCAAAGTTACCCCACAAAGATCAGTTGAACACGCTGACTGACATCGGAGCCTTCTTGAAGCTACTATATACATCAAGCTTGGACATCTACCAGACTAAAGCAGCTCATGGTCGTAGCCGCCATTCCATCGATGTCGATTTCCATCACATGCATGGCCATCACACCAGACAAAACCACTTGACACGTGGTGGATTAATTTTGTTGCGCCACCAAAACGGAGGGCGCAACACAGGGGTCTGACATCTGAAAACATCCGAAACATGAAGTCTTTCGGATAGAAGTCGGCGCTGAAGGACGTGTTTCCAAGGGTTTCATCACACCCGAAAAATGCCATATGGCTCTGGCAGGCCGAACATGGCATTTCAATGGGCAATCGCAAATGGAATATTTCCCAACACCTTTTCATCATTTCTGGACAGCGCGGGAGACTTCGGGGTCCATGGAGACCTCCAAATCTTCACGAACATGACAGATAGGTGGCAGCGAGATAGGTGGCAGCGAGATGGGTGGCAGCGAGATGGGTTGGCCATGCAAGTGAAGCCATGCAAGTAAAAAGTACATTAGATACATTCTCACATCGAAGAAGAAGTCGGCACGTCCAACCAGACAAAGCCACCGCGGTCGGGAAAACCACGGTATCCGAGTTCTTTTTTCGTTCGCAAACGCCGACCAAAGAAGGATCAACCAGCAGTCGGTGTTTAGTCCCCAAGTGAGTGGATAATGGGCACCCCTAACCTCCATTAAGCACCGGTTTGTGACTGCTGGAATATGGTCTTGAATGTTCCATGCGGAATTCACATTCCAATAGGTTTTTCCAGATTTGAGCGAAGGAGATCCAACCTCTTTCGTCCTTGGACCGACGCCAAGTTCTTCTTCATTTGGAGTATCTCTGCAAGCGCTGGACCTACTCTCGGTTAGAGATCGCTTGTGGAGCTGGTCACGGGGAATCACCCCTCAACTTGATTTCTTTGCGAAGGTCCCTTCGGGTAGGCAACAAGAACTTGTCCACAAAAGAATGTTCTCCTTTGGATCAATCTTACCCTAGATAGGTGTCGAAATTTGTGGGAGGTGGGGACGAGCAGCAGCGCTTATGGGGGCAGTTTTTAGGTTGTTGAGCCTCCACAAGCTGCGCCAATTCTTCCTGTTTGGGCGCTCTTTTCGGGCCTAGGCAGCCTAGGTCTTCAGGCTCAACTGCCGTCAGCAGCGCTGGACACCCCGCTAGTCTGCATGTTCACAGAATCACAGGGAAGTGCGTAATGAGCCAATGCTTTGATCCAGCATTTCCTGCTTGCAAAGTAACAAGCGTGCAAACGCCAGGAGCAGAGTATTGCAGCAGCATTGAAACTGCCAAGAAAACAGAAAACAGCGGGATGTCAGGTGAATCCTCATGGTTTTTGAGGCCTTAGAGCTCATTCTACTGCTGTAGCCACCAAACAATCCAAACGTTGACTGTGGTGCACAACGAATATGTAACTCACGTCCAAATTTGAGGTGACATGGTTCCGGCAAAGGGGATAGCCCACAGTTCTACATATGCCAGTCATGACTGGACCGCCTCCTGCTGTATCTGTTCAAGTGAGCAGAAATCAACCCTTTTCTCCTGTTTTGACGAGCAAATGTCATCAAACGTGTAGAAAAATATAGTAATAATATAGTATATCCAGTCCTGTTCAAAACGGATGTTTGAAGGTTTTCGATGTTTTTCGCCCCTACATTCTCTGGTTTACGGTCTCCCCGTCCAACGGACCACTGCGTCGGAGTCGTATGTCATGGGAAACGAACCGTCGGCATTGAACGAAACAGTGAAAAGTCATGCCACAACACCTTCGAGTTTGAACTCGCTGTGGACATTTTTCGCAATTTCATGAGAAGATCAGGGACCCCTTCTCGTTTGGAGACGTGAATATCATACACATCACATCGTATTGCGCGTGCCAAGGAAATTTCACCAAACTGTTTCTAAAATCAAGCGGCAACAAGGCCCCCTACTGTCATGCGCATGCCAGGACATGAAACTAGGCAAACAGTCATTGAGACTAACATAACTCAAAAGCTGTAGATGTGGAGATCATTCTTGTCTCTCTCCCTGTGGGCGTCATTCAGCTGTAGAGCGACCAAACGTCTGCGCATCTGGGCGTCATTGGTCGACTCCTTGGTGGCAGTGACAACAGACCATCGCCCATCGGCACTCCGGAAGAGACCCACATGGAACCTGAAAACCACTGGTTTGTAAAGGAAAGTAGTCTTCCAAAGGTCCATTTTCAGGTTCCATGTGAACTTTCCCGGGTCTACAACCCGCACACCTGGTGTGAACCCTTGACCAGATCCACTCGCTACCTGACTGGTTGGTGCTTCATCGGCGAGACGAAAGTTCAAACAGCTGCGTTTGCGCAACCTACATGCAACCTTGCAATATAGACCAGTGGTTCTTTGCTGTTGCACCCAGCAAAACCTTCTTTTCAACTGCGTGCTTCTTTGTCGCTCTGCTGAACCGATCGAGAAATCGGCCACCGATCGCCCTTCGCAGACCACAAGATCTGAATTGCTCTCGCTCTCAGCCATCGTTGTTCCCCCTTCCTCCCTTCCTCGCTTCCTCGCTTCCTCCCTTCCTCCCTTCCTCCCTTCCTCCCTTCCTTCCTCCCTTCCTCCCTTCCTTCCCTTCCTTCCCTTCCTCCCTTCCTCCCTTCCTCCCTTGCACACCAAACCAGGCTTCTGAGGCTCCTACTTTTCCCCTTTCGGCCCAGACCATTGACCGCCACCATGTCATTCCCGAATCGGCCACCCACGAACGGGCCAAGGGACAGGGAGCCCGATCGTGAAGCGCCTCGACGCCGTTGGGGACGATACGGTCACTACTTGCTTCGAGGTGAAGCCGTTGGGAGGTTCGATGAACATCCGTCGTCGAAGGGATCGTTGAACCATCCATCGAAACGGCCGCTGCGCCACGCGGCGCGGATCAAAAAGGGAAAAGAATGGCTGCTCAATGGCCTCCAACCAGTAGCAATGCCCTAAAAAGAATCCAAAAACATGTGACGTTGACCTGTTTAGAAGCAAGTCATACCGACAAAAAGCTTCAAGGAGATGGCAAAATGTTCCAGGAGATTGCTCCAATCCGAATGACAAATCAACCTTTAGAATCTGGAAACTTGGCCAAACTCTAAGCGTCCTTGGTGCGAGTTCTTGGTTTCAAGCCTATCCCTTCTGGCAAACTGAAACCGACCCTATGATTTTGCTTAGCAATGTAGAATTATGATGATATTTCAACCCCCAAGCCACTCCATGCTTCCAGATTGGGGGGGTCCATTCTTCCAGATTCTACGCGTCGATTTCGCCTCGCCCTTCAATTGGTCCAAGAACTTGGCCTCGACACATCCGGGGCGTGTGGAGCGGTGGAGCACACGACCGGTGGGCCGCAGAGGTCGACTGAGAGGCGGACGCTGTTTCTTGGGGGGCGCGAGTTGGAGGTTTTCAGAGGTTGGAACAAAGAAATCAGGCCAGATGAGGGATGAAAAGGAGGATGGACGAGGATTGACTTTTGGGATGAAACTGAATCACTTGACCACAACTTGAACCTTTGGGTTTAGGGTTCGCGAACCACAACTTGACCACAAATTCAAAACACCCCATGATTTTTCTGGAAATCACAAGCGGTGCACAACCTGAACTGGTGAAACTTCGTTCTGGGCCGCAGTGTGCCGTTCGTTCGGGCACGTTCGGCGCACCGAACGTAGTTTCCACTCGAAAAGGTGGACAACCCGAATTGGCAAGCTTGGATTTGCTGGTTTCGGAAACCGGAAAAAAGTATTCCAGCTTTGGAGATTCACCCAGCTCGGGAAAAAGGACATCATGTGATTCGCAAAACCAGGCAATGCAACTGAATTTGCTACTTGGGCAATGCATTTACATGCTGCACACCAGCACTTGGTCTGAGGTAAGGCATGAAGAATTGTGGCACAAAAACATGCGCAAAAAGAGGGAGGTACACCCGCGAGCTAAGCATCAAGGCTGCCAAATAAGACACTCCACCATTCAGCTGATGGATATCATATCGTTTCAGGGGCATGACATGTTCGATTCATTTTCTTGCAAGACATCGCCTTCAAACATCCCCGATCAGAGTCGCAAAGCCATTAGAATCGCTGCCAAGATGCCATCGCCACGTTTCCTGTGCGCCGCGCCCATCCTAGGCACCCAATACCACCTGGAGCTGACAGGTTGTCACCGACATGCAGAAACAAAGAAACACATGGATTACCACGTGTCACCTTTTCCTTGATTTTGAAAGGGCTACATTGCGCATAAGTCTTTGGTATGTACATTTCTGTACTTGTCGATGAACGCACACGCTCCCCTGGCGCTCCCCTGTACATGTATGTGCTTGTACAGTGTGCGCGTCATCCAAGCTAGGAAAATTACGAGCCACCAGTTCAAACCTTGTCTCAGTCCAAATTCTACAGCGCATAGGTTGGTCTTCCACCCCACGTAGCCAGCAATCAAACACCTCCTTGTGGAGAAACAGGTCACGGTGGCGCCTTTGGCAGTGGCCGACGGTCCTGAGCTTCCTTCAAGGCACTTCCTTTCTTTGGCACTCTTGTAGGACACTCTTGCAGGACATCCTTGCAGGACACTCTTGTGGGACAGTCTTTGTAGGACACTTTTGTGGGGCACTCTTGTGGATCACTCTTGCGGAACAATCTTCTAGGACACTCTTGTGGGACACTTTTGTATGGCATTCTTGTGGGACACACGCTCTTGTGGGACATTCTTGTAGGACACTCTTGTTGGACACTCTTGTAGGACACTTTTGTGGGGCACTCTTGTAGGACGAGTGGGACACTCTTGTGGGACACTCTTGTAGGACACTCTTGTCGGACACTCTTGTGGGACACTCTTGTGGCGCACTCTTGTAGGACACTCTTGTGGGACACTCTTGTAGAACTCTGTAGAACACTCTTGTGGGGGACTACTAAAGTCTCCAAAAGTCAACCGTCACGTCTCCAGAAGGTTTCGCATGAGACTTCCTCCAAAAGTCATGCGTCAAGTCTACAAAACAAGCATTTCGCACGAGCCTTCTTCCAAGATTCACTCGTCAAGTCTCCGGAAGGAGCGTTTGGCACGAGACTTCCTCAAAAACTCACACTTGAAAACTGCAAAACCCGGGTTTCGTACGAGATTTCCTCCAAAAGTCATACGTCAGGTCTCCAAAACGAGAGTTTTGCACGAGCCGTCTTCCAAAAGTCACATGTCAAAGTCTCCAAAACGAGCATTTCGTACGAGACTTCCTCCAAAAGTCAAGCAGGAAGCTCCATCGGAGCACACACATCAAGCAGCCCTGCCAAGCAGTTTCGCGATTCCAGCCCCTCCAAACAACACCCGCTCACACGCCAATCCCAATGTCACAGCGACATTCACCTCCACCACAACTCGCAGCCTCACGATTCCCTGCACCTGCCACGAATCCACACGTCTAACACACACAAAGTACTACGCCTGCCACGAAATGTCACCTCCGCCACACCTCGCAACCTCACGATTCCCTGCACCCGCCACGAAAATCGGACTTCCACACCTCTAAGCCCGCACAAAGTACTGCGCCTGCCACGAAAAGTGACAATATCATATCATGTGAGCTTGAACCCATTTTGCACCACACCACACGTTTAGAATGATTTCGACACGTTCTGAGCACACTCCCATCCACCAAAAACACCATTTCAGCTGAGACTTGTCACGAAAACACAGTTTGAACGCAACACCCTGAAATGCAAATCCCAATGTCACAGCCACATCCAACACCCCAAAAACACCACCCTCCAAACGCCAATCCCAATGTGACTGCGCAGAAAACTGCCCATCTCACAAAACGCTGCGCCTGTGCAGTGAAATGATCCTCCACACTTCACCCTCTTACGTGTCCACACGTTCCTCGCTATTTCACAGGAATCTGACACGTCATGCACCCATCCTAAACCCCCTACAAAACCTTTCCCCAATGTCAGCGCCTTAGCGCCCTATCGCGAAGGGTTGCAAATGGTTGCAAATGGTTGCGGACGGTTGACAACGGTTGCGGTCGCTCAGACCACGAGTCGCGAACAAGGCTCTACCCCGAGACCCCCAGAGTTAAACAAGAACCCTTCGCTACGCATTCGGGGAAAGACATCAACCGGTCCACCCGTTTGCCCCGTCGGTTGGATGGGTCGGTCCGGACCCTCGCCTGGTCCATCAAGCGGACATCCTGCATCCAGGAGGATCTGGGCCTTGTATACCATCCTCTGATCCTGGCGAAGTCTGAACTCAGATCTGCGGCCTGATCTCTTGCTCTCTCTCTCTCTCTCTCTCTCGCTCTCTGTGTCTCTCTCTCTCTCTCTCTCTCTGTCTTTCTCTCTCTCTCTCTCTCTTCTCCCAGAAAAGAAAAGAAACGAAGATGCACTGAAAGCCACATGTGTTTCATGTGTTTCAGCGACACATGTCGAAGTCCATCAACTCTTCCTGGCTTGGCTCTTCCAAGCGACTCTTCCTGGTGCGACCTGAACAAACTGCTTGGACTTCACCAGGCCTGCCGAATTTGGGCCGCCTGCAGCGCGACGGGTCGACCCGACATTGGGGGGCCGCGGGTAGCCCGCGCCCCCAGGTCTCGTCTGTTCGCTGCGCGTCTGGTTCGGGCCCGGACCCCTGCCTAACTCGGTGGTCCGACTTTTGCCGCGGAGAGCCCGAGCTCGGATTCTTATAGGCTGGGAAAAGACCGGAACATGGCGCCAATCGCTCGGACGTGGTTTTACCTGGGTTGCAATGGACAAGGCTAGGGGACACTGGGGAAAAGAATCCGAGAAATCCTTGGTGTACTGCTGTAAGGACACACCCCAAACGCGACCTGGCTTCAGGCCAGAAAAACGAAGGGCTCGGAGAGAGAGGGGATTCTGCCCAATTTGTAGGTTTCTTGGACTGGTTTGCTTCTTCACCCCCCGATCTTCTCACTGAAAGTGGCAGGGTAGGTTGGACAAGACTAGATCTGGTTCGGATTTGCAAGCTCGTCCGTTTCTTTCCAACCGTCCCGGTCCCTGCCGCCGGCCCCCCATCCGTCTCCCTCTGTCCAAGAGGCTTGAGGGTCAAAGAAATCACCCTTCAATGGGCGAAACCTGCAAGAGTTCCTCGGAGGATGGAGGGGCCACGTGCCTCATGGTTTCCGAACCTCCCAAAACGAAGAAGTGAAAACGCAAAGGAGTTGAGGGAATCAAAAGGAGCCACCTGATGGTAGCAGGAGTTCGGTCAAATCTCGATGCCACCAACGCATGCTTCATTTAGTCTGCCACCCAAATCTGGGCCGTGAGGACTCGTCAGCCGAGTGTCGAGGAAAGGAGAGAGAGGGCGGTATGGCCATCCACATCTCGAACATTTACCGATGCACCGTGCGCCTCGGTGCATAAAGCGTTCCATGTACCGCTGGAGAGGCAGCTGATGGAAGAAACACACGAAGTATAGGAAAGTTTTGTCGAAGCATATAGCAGGACGCGCTTCGAATCTTTTCCTTCAACAGTATACACTGTCAGGGAATCCTTTCTGTCCCAGCTAAATTCATGTGTGGAGATCAAAGGAGAGCGCTTCCCACTGCTTGGAGAAAACCATGCAGCAAAAACCTATCCTGCCACACATCAGTTGTTTCCTTTTACATGCATATACGGGCTATTTTTTAACATACACTCCCTGAAACAATCATGGAAATCGAGTACACATGGTCTTTGGAATGGCTGGTCATCCACTTCCACGGCCATACCATCTGCGGTCGGCGTCCGACCAAGGGCGTCTCCGGTCGGTCCGCGCCAGTCTGCGGTGTGTTCGAAAGATCTCGCGGAGAAGCCCCACTTGAACGCTTCCATTCGCTGTGTTTGGTGATAGAACACCGGGTATTGAAGTAGCACGAACGACACAGCGTCATGACATGGCCCTGGCAAATTCTTTCCTCAACCACTGAAACTCTTGCGCCTATACAGTGGGCAAACAAATGCTTCAAACGCATCTCCTCCTGGGGGATCCTCCGAGGCCGAGTCGAGGTCCACCAACAAATGCCTTGGAGCGTCAGCCACAACGGAACCATCCATCGACCATTGCTCGGCTGACCTCCTCCGACGTGGAATTCGTCAAAGGCGCCACCACTTGGTAGGTTGATGCGGCCTCGACCATGTTCAGGGCCGGGCATCCTTTCTTGTTGACGGTGTCCACCCACATGATGTCGGCCGTGAGCACTTCATTAAAGTCCAGACCAACCACGGGTTGCGCCGGTCTGGAAGGTTTGGCTTTCCCACTCTTTGCGCATGTCCGGCAGACCTATTGCTCTGCAGCTCTAATGACCCCCTCGGAAGCTCTTCCCAAGCGCAAATGTTTCACAAGTTCTCTTTGAGGTGGATGTCCAAGGTTTTGGTGAGTGCGCTTGAGGGTGGAGGCGATGACGGGCTTCACCTTTCCCTTGAAATATATGGCAGCAGCTCCCCTTGGTAGCAGGCTGTGGTTCAACAGCTTGTTCCCCATGTAGGGTATGGAAGTACGGCTTCAGCGAACCCCAGCGTACACTCCGCAGAAGCGGCAGTGTCCCTTGCTTGTATGGGTCGATGCTGATGTTCTCCCTGGCATCGTTGTGTCAACTCTGCTGCAAAGTTGGGATTATTGTTCATCAACGAGATCCCTTTTCGATTTGGCACAAATCCAAGTTGGCCGTGTTCACATTGGAGCTCATCGCAAGGTCGGCTAATGAAGATTTTCTCCATATGTCGCTGGTCTTTGGATTCTCAATCACCGCGACATTGCCCAAGGTCTGTTGTAGTTCAAAAACTCGACGAGTAAAGTTCACCAGACCTCGTTCTCGACCTCTCCTGCGCCTAAGTTCCTGCTTGGTGTGTTGAGCCTCGAGAACTGGCACCACGCAGTGCAGGGAGGCGCCGTCCATATCATCTTGGGGCGACGATGCCAAATCTCTTCAATGAGTTGCTCTTGCGCTTCCGGATCTCGAAGGTCGTGATCATATTTGATGTCTGTGGGGTGTAAGACACCACGGCGGTGTTCCGCAAAGGTGGCCGATATATGTTCGCCTGTCCGGCGAACAGCTCCAAGCACTCGACAGTCCCATGGTCACCATGATGATGCGTCGGTTGTAGGACTGCCCAAGCATCACAAAGTGGTTCTCCCATCACCTGCTGCGACTATTGTCCCACTGCCATGGAGCAAACAGCTGGGACTTGGAAGGCGGAGAAGGCGGCGTCGATGATCTTCTTCTTGGTTCCCCGATTCTCAAATCGGTGCCTTCACGCTTTTCTTCAACTGAACGTGGTGTTCTTGACCTCGTCGGAGAATCATCCGCCCCAGAACCTGTGGTCGTCTCATTATCATCCTCCCCGTTCAAGCCGCGAACATTTTTCGGGGAGTTGATGGTTCCGAGGTCATAATCCAAGGTCTGCTTGTCCACATTGTCGTGAGCCTCATGGCTGTTATAGCGCTCATCATGTCCATCTCCGTCTCCTTGTCCCGCCATCCTCACTTCTTGGTCGTCTTCTTCAGGGCGGCAAGCTGTGCTTCTGTTTACAATGCTGGCCACGGGTGATACGCTTACGTATTGTCCGCAGGCAGCTACTTTTGCCAAAGCCCTTGGCACGGCAGCTCGCAATGACAATGGCCACATAGCCTCCCTTGCTTAGCCTGGCCTTAGCATTACGGTCGGGCAGGTCCACCCTTGCCGTTGCAGGAGTCTTTGGGGCAGGCAAGACACGCTCTCTCACATTCCTGCTCGCATGGCTGGCCCTCACCACCCATCTAAAGATTGCTGTGGTGCACAAAGAAAACCCGGCGGGCAGAGCCATTACGAAGCTGCTGCTCGCCACCTTCGATTTGCAGCCTGAGCACCAGCAATATTTCATCCCCAACGCTCGAATCCTCTCTGCATGGTCCATGAGCTCCTCCGCGTCGTTGCCAAGTCCTCCGCCTTCACCTTGGTCCGCCCCGCTCGCCGAGGGTGGAGGGATTGTGGGCAATGCTTCCGGGTCCCGGCCGAGGTCCTTCTTCTTGACATAGCCGGAGAGATTCTCCAGACTTCCTGGTACATGAATCCCTTGTACCTGCCGAACGGGACAATGGTGTCTTTTGGAGCGTTCCGACTGTCTCGGATGAGGCGCTCATCAAACTGCGGGTCGGTTTGGCAGGCAGGGTGATTCCTTCCTTCTCGGCTTCGGTGACCAGCTGCTGCACAGTCATCTTCGTCAGGCCTTTCATGCGGTCTTACTCTTTGACAGCAGCTGGCTCTTCTTCATGTTCCATGGCGAGGTCACAAGGCCGGGCATCCACAATGCTGGGAGGGCCTTCAGCAGTTGCGGTCGCGCAACACGATGCAAGCTTGATCTTTGGAACGCTGCTGCGACCAATCCATGGACTCTTCAAAAACATGCCCTCAATGAACGAGACGTCGTGCTTTGCGGTCACACCTGTGCCTTCAGCTAAACAAAGAACAACTTCTGTTGTCCGTTCTCCTTCGAGACGTTTCAATAACACATCTTTCAACTCGACCAGCTTGGTTTGCCATGTAGAAGGAGAGAAGGTGGTATTGCCAGGAACGACATGGACCCTGATGAACTCACTTGCGGTCTCAATCCAGAAATCCTTGCTAACCTTGGCCTGTTTCCACCCGCAAAAGAGCCCCGCACCACCCAAAGCATCATGAGAAGAAAGCATCAAACGCACTTCATGAGGGAGGACTTTTGGATAGAACAAAGGTTTGATCGGGTGCTCGGACGACTGCGCTCTCATGTATGCCTCTGCGGATGGGATGTAAATGTCATTGACCATCTCAAGGTCACAAACAGGCATGGTGCCATGCGCAAACACATTGACCAGCAGAGCAGGGTGCCCTGTCGGACTGGTGTGCAAGGGGGTACATCATCTAAAGCTTGGCGTTTGGCCTGCCAAATCATAATGCGTCCCCCAAGGCCGCCAGGACGGGCCTACTGAAGAGTATTCTTATTATTCCGCGCAGCCGAGAGCGTCGCGTGTCTCTGGCGTGCCGGGCATGGCGATTGCAATGCCGCAGGCAACTAAACATGACAAAGAGCTCAGAGCTGCCTTGCCAGCTCACGGGCATACCCTCGCAAAAAGTGCCACAAAAAGTCAGCCACCCGATTTGCCTCATGTTCAGGCCACGGGATTTGAACTGCTTTCATGGGTTTGTGGATCATCGCCGCCGGACGCGCGACACAGCCCCAACTACACTCACGCTGACACGCCGCCATTGTTTCCGAAAAAAGAAGCTCAAAAACCCTAAGGTTCGAGGCCAAAGTACGACCAACCAACTCACCAGCGGCAAGCGTGTCAATGGGCACCCAGGTGCTTTGCCCAGCCCTCATGGTTTGAAGGGGAATAAGTAAACCAGAAAACAAATGAAAACCAATAAAGACCTCCAACAGAGTCACGAAAGGAAAAACAACCGCCGTCCGATCTAAATGGATGATCCACTGAGAAAGTTTAAGACCAAAAATTGACCCAAATCCTGTGAAGAAAGATCGTTTGCTCAGAGCAGCCTCCACATCAACAGGAAAACATTCTGTCCAGTCATTGCTATGGCATTGCAGATTCAAGTCCAGCTGATGCAGGCGATCCGTGTCATCCTCTTCTTCATAGCCATCCGGCCGTGAAGCTAAACTGTGTTTGGCCAAGTGCAAAAGGAAAAGCTGGTGCTGTTTCCCCAAGAACATGTTCTGCTTGTCCTGTTCACGAGCGAGACGAACCCTCTCGCGGAGAACAGTGGAGCCACCTGTGCGCACTGCCGCCTTTGCAGCGCTGTCAGCACAACTGTTGCCATAGCGGAGCCAGGCATCATGCTCCGTCAACGCCAGTGCAGGGTCAAGGTGGGCAGATACCTTAGTCAGCTGAACAGTGCTGGAGAGTCGCTCCCAGCTGGCCTGAAGTCGCTTCCAGAGATCCTGATTGCGCCACTCAGTCGGAATGAAGCCCTGCCTCATGACATGAGCAAAGCCGTCAAGGGCATACTGAGAATCCGAGTAGATATGAACTTGGCAGGCAGTGTGAGCTGCCCAGTCCAGCGCCATAACTATGGCCCAAATCTCCGCTCTGTCGCTCGTGCGATGCGAAAAGGGGAGCAGTGCAGCAGCTATGGTTTCCTCAGTATTAGCCAAGTAGCAGCTCCATCCGGCCAAAGCGCACTGAGGGTTCTTTGGCAGATCGCAGGAACCGTCCACAAAAATGTGCAGAGTACCTGAGTCATGCGGCCAAGCTTCCCAAGAGTCAAGCTGGTCGGACAAAGCATGTTGCGCCTCCCAAAAGGAAAGCAAATGCTGATTGGCCAAAAGTAATCCATGATGTGTGACATGTTTAGGCAAGGAATGCCATCTCCGAATCACCTCAGGAAAATGGCTGCGAA